ACACTGAAGCAGTTCCTAAAGGATGTTGAAACATGTGGATGCTACCTGTAACATTGTTTAGATACAGGCAGGAGCATTTGAAAGGATGTATCAGTTTATGATGAAACATTGTCAGCTTGCATTGAAGCCCATGGAGGACACTTTGACCATCTTCTGTGACTCTGCCTGAAATAAATATGCCATACTATCAGGGCCTAGGGCTTATTGAAGTCCAACGAGGTCCCATTTTTTGTTAGATTAAAAATCTTTAAACTGGGGTTTAAAATTCATTTTTAATAACATCAAAATCAGAATTGAAATATATTTATTTATAAAATGGTATTAAATGGCAAACTTTATATTGATAAGTGCTCATAGTTAATGAAAAAGTATTAAAAATTTATGATGATAATTCAATTTTTGTGGGCCCATGACACTTGGGGGCCCAGGACTTAAGCCATATTAGTCCCTATGTAGATCTGCTCCTGCATACTGTTGTGCAATATTATATCTTGTGTGTGCAGCTTATGATGCCCATTTTTAGTGTCATCTACTTAGCACCAGTGGATTTTTGGACATATGCTAATAGAACCATTTTTATTAAATGTTTCTTATAACTTAAACCAGTTATTTACAACACATACCTCAGAAACCTTTAACCAATACAAATTAAAATTTAACACTACAAACGTTTTCAGACCCCTCCTGGGTCCTTCTTCAGGTAAAGAATCATTTGAAACGATATTAAATACGAAAAAACATTCAGAGGTATGTGTTGTTTAGTTAACTCTGGTGTGCAGTTGTTCGTTATTATTACTAGTTATTTATGTTAGGGCTTATCACACCAGTGAATATGAACACAAAATTTCTTAAATTTATTATATATTTATATCTACAAAACAGACAGACAGACAGAGAGAAAGGGCCTGACCAGTAGGTATAGCCCTGAGTAGACTAGAAAAGGAAGAAGGATTAAAGTTAGTTGAGAGGGGGGTAAGACTGAAGGTGAAGCATAGTAAGATAGGAAAGAGGAAAGTAGCCAGCCTAAGCCCATGAATCTCATGGGCGTCCTGCAACGCATTTAATTCAAACAAAACAGTAGGATACTGTGCCCGAATCTGTGCCCTTTACCACAGTGGCTACATTTTTGTTTTGCTGGGCAATTAACTGAGAGGTGGTTGTAGCCACAGCATTGATAGCACCGAACTAGGGGTATGTAGTCATTGATATAGATTTTAGCCCATTGAAGGGCAATGTGTTTAGTGCGGACTAAAACATTTCTTATACTTGGAGAGGTGGAGAGGACAATATGTCTACAGTTTTCTTTATTATTACTTCTGAATAAAACTGTGCTGATCCTGGTGTTTTCTGTGAAATCATCTCTGTTTATCATTTGTAGTTCTTCATTCTGATCATATATGTATGAGATAATGTCCTCCTCATCCACTGAGGTTGGCACATTTATATCTACAAAACAAAGAGATTTTACAATAATTACAACTAATATGTATACAATACATCCAAAATGCATTTCAAACTCTAAAATAGTCCCTCTTCAGTTGGTGCAGGCACCTGAATCAACAACAAAGATGGTGAAACAATTGCGCAGGCGTGGAGGTATTTGTTCGAGGAATTCGAACAGGGACAGTTGGAGGGGTGAAACCCGACGTGCACGATTATCTACATCTCTGGCGACATCGTTACGACGGTCAGGAAGAAATGCGGTCAGTCACCACCTGAAGCAGACCTCGGCGGAGGTCGAAAGCGTTTGTGGAGTAGTTAAGAATATAACACTTGTACAGAAAGGTTTTCGTGGATTATTATCTACATACAATTAATTACAATCAGTTACAGACCACTTTAAGTATCAAATAATAAAGTAATGGACATAATATTTACAATTAATGCTTCTGAAAGATTGACAGAAACATTACAACAAATAAAAACAAAGATAATATGCACTTTTACAATCAAATCCGAAAGAAACTGCGGTGACAGTACAACAATTTGCATATTTATTCTCCATTTTACGTCATCAGTTTTACATCATTAATTTTTTTTTAATATAATCACACCAACCTTCACCTATTTTTACACCTAAATTATCATTAATTCTTTTTTCTTTTTTAAAATTTCAATATGTTCATAATATTATGCTTATTAATATTTGTTTCAAATTTTAATCAAAATTTTAATTTTGATTATTAATATTTGTTTCAAAGGCTTTTATCAAATCTTTTTCTATTTCACATCCATTTAAATTACAGTGTTTTTCTACAGCTGAAGTTTGTGTATTATATTTTATTTCATTAATATGTTATTTTATTTGAACCTTTAAACATCTTTTTATTTAGATTTAAATATATAATAAATTTAAGAAATTTTGTGTTCATATTCGCTGATGTGATAAGCCATAACATAAATTAAGTTACAAGAAACATTTAATGAAATTAAAGGAAAAAATAAAAAACAATACAGGACAATTTTTGTTCTTTGTCCTACCAAGAATCTATTCCCACAGTTTTGTTACCATAGTTTGGAATTATCCTGTATAATCTTGTCTTGAAATATGCCATAAGCCTAAATTTCAGATGTTCGGAATTACATGAAAAAAGAATTAAAATAAATATGTTTTCAAATTTAATAACTAACCATTACAATATTAGTTATTAAATATACATTTATGTATTAATCTAATATATTTTTCAAATTTTAAATTTAAAATTTGTTCTATGTAATTGAATTCCATGTTATTGTTAAACATTCTGAAGAAGCTTGTGTTTAACAAGTAAAAGTAGTTAGTAAATATTTTATTTTGAATTTGGGGTATCATCAGTTATGTGAAACTAAATTATGAAACTTATCCTATATATAAATCCAGAGTTAAAAAAGTTTATAAATAATTTGTAATTTGAGAATGCAAAATATTAAATTAAATTGTGATAAGGGATTTTTGGGAAATACAGTTATCTGTAAGTAAGTCTAATTTTTAATTAAAATTTAAGATTTTCTTCTGTATATCATATACAAATTTTATTTAAAGATTTCATTTTACAATAAAATCAAATAAAATTTCTAACAAAAAGTTTAGTTTTTGTTAATTATAAGACAAAATTTTATTTATTTATTTCTATAAAATAAACTGAAATATTGTGCCAGTGACCAATTTTGCACTTGCAGAACTTCATCTTCCTGAATTTTAATGTATTTCTAAGACAAAACTTGTCTTAATTTGTACAATTCTTTACTCGTGTGGCTCTTCATGAATGTAATCTTAATATAAATCGCAATCACATTATAAATATAAAACACCATTCAATCAAAAATCCTTGAAATTCCAGTAAAAAGTTTCAATAAAAAATGTAAAATTAGACAAATGTTTTTGATCTTACTTGAGATGCATCATGATATGTTTACTTTTATTTTTACTATGTTTATTTATCCCTGTTTTAAAATTCATAATACAGAAGCAAGAGATATTACTTTAATTATTGTTTCAGCTTTGTTATCATCTTTAATTCATATTCAATGAAGTATTCATTAATGGAATATTGAATTTGATTTTATGCAGATTTTGAGTAAGATCAGAAACATTTGACTAATTTTACATTTTTATTAAAATGTATTACTGAAATTTCAAGGTTTTTTTGATAGAGTTGTATTTTGTAGTTATAGTTCAAGTTATTAGAAGATGGTTGTATACATTGTAAATCATCTAATAAAAATAAATTATTTTTCTAAATTCAATCAATCAAGCACTTTTTCTTGATTTTTAAAAGATACTTTATTACAAAACTAAATATAATTATTGTTTATTTATATTTGTATAATAATACATTTGCTTCCATCATATTCAAGGCAGTTTTATTTAAAAATTTATTCTCAAACAATTTCAGAATTCTATAAAAAAAATTTTTTGCATTACTGTATTTTAAACTTGATATACTGTAACTCACATATAAGACAATATCACATATAGGACAAGGTGTGATTTTAAAGATCAAAATAAAGAAAATTAGATTTATTAATACAATTCTAATTTTATTTTGTTTAATCACAAGTAAAATATCAAATAAATATAAATGCACACATTTTCCTGCAAAAATTACTGGCATTTTAAACTTTAAGGAAAAATCTTGTAAAATAGACAACATAATTTGTTCATGTAAATCTGAACAATCAGGAACCTTTTTTTTGCCAATTCTTAACAGTTGAATTCACTCTCTGTGAATTACGCTTGTGAGTTTCTCTGAATTCTGATTTCCGAATAATCATCTGTTTTCATGTGGGAATGAATTAAAACTTATATCGTGCTCCCGAGTGATTTTAGAATTTCAATCTGAAATCCAATTCAGAAGCTTTGCTTTTCCTATTGCTATTCATCTTTACTCATGCCAATATACAAGAATGATTCAAACGACCCAGATAAAATACTTATGTTTTTAAATACATGAGGTAAGCATCTGGTAAAAATGCAAATACACAGTTCACAAAAATCATTTGTAAAAATGCAAAGAATCTTTCGCTTGTGCATATAGGATGACCTAGGAATTTGAAGCTGTGATAAATGAATAAAAACCTTATCTTATATGCGAGTAAATACAGTAATTGTTTTCTTATAAATATAATTAAAATTTTAGAATAGCATGTTCATGCTTTCATACACTTGTATTAATTTGCAGATGTTGTAAAATGTAAATAATATTTCTGTTTTGATTCAGATTAAACAAGCATTAGATCAAAATTTTCCTATACATAAAATTTAATTTGTGAATTTATTCTAATAAATTCAAGTAGTAAATATAAAAAAACATTATAACAACATATGCTACCAATCCAATAATTAATTAACCTTAAGCAGTAGTCCAATAAAGAAATCTGGTTATTCATTTAATATTTAAAAAACATTAATATGCTTTGTGCATTATTTCATTAAAAATTTTTGCAATATATTAAAAGTATTGAAACATATAAATTTCTTTTGTATATTACATAGAATAGATTTATAAAATAAAGCTTACTTTTTTTCCCATTTGGATCAATACAGCATTTACGCATAACATAGCCTTTTTTATATTCAGTTGCTGAATTTGGATTAGGAACCTAAAATATCAAACATAGAAAATATTTTCTTATCAGAATAAAGATATTTTCACTTTATCATATCAAATGTCATTTTTTCAAAACACTTACAATGCAGGTGCCATTGCATTGATTTTTCTTAGAATAAGGTGACCAGACATCCCGCTTTTGGCGGGACAGTCCCGATTTTTAACAATTTGTCCCGCGTCCTGCGGCATTTTAAAAAAGTTCAGAGTTTTGGAAAGATTAAGTTTTTGTCAATTACGTGTCATAAACTTATGTCTTACGTTTAAGATTCGTAAAGATCATTTTGCATCATGCCTATCAGTATCAATGTATGCATGAGCATCAGAAATAAAGAATGCTGTGCCAACAAAACCCTTTGTGTTCATGGTAAAGATCAACAGAAAATGGTTTGGGGTGCATAGCTGTAGCAACGGAATAGTGCGTGTTCACAGGATATCCAAACAAACAAACATTTTGTTCGTTGCATGTTACATGGAGCAGAGCTCTCGTCTGTCACAACCTTAGAAAGCTAGTGACTAGTGAGAGTAAGCACATTGGTTTGCATCGTTCTATTGCTAGCGGTGGGGCTGGGGTTCATTTTGGTTATGACAGTATTATGTAATAAAAAAATTACAATAATAAAGTGACATTCAAGGTAAATTCAGAGGAAAAGTAATACAAGTTAAGAAATACAGAAGGATTAAATTAATTGTTAAAATATAGTTTGTCATAGGTACTTAAAAATTTTTAAAATTGTCATAAAGATTTATAATAGTATATATATTTATTATATTTGTAAATTTTACATATGTTGAAATTTAAAAAATCTAATATAATACAATTTTTGCATTCTTTGATAATAAAATTTGGTTGTTCCAGAACAAGTTTTTTTTCAGTGAGATAAGCACTACCTCTCCATCAATTTTGTCCTGCTTCACCAATGTTAAAATCTGGTCACCTTATCTTATCTTAGAAGTATGTAAAATTTGGCACCATAAAAGTGATAAATCAAGTAACAAAACTGCTTGTTTAAGGATACCAAAAAGTATTCATTTTGAAATGTTTTAACTTTAATACTTTAGGTCATTCTGTTTCAGGTCAACACTGAGGACAGTTTAAAGTGGAATTAAAAATGTATCAACATAAATAATTTTTGGTGTCCCTAAGCAAATAATTTTTGTTTCTAGTTTCATCATTGATTTTTCTATATCTGAACACTTGAAAAACTAATATAGTTTGTTAAGTATTTGAAAAACTGATATTTTTTATATCTTAAATTTTCAAATATTTTTTTTTTATTTTATGAAAATATTAACCTGAAAAAGGTTATAAACATTACAATCAACAGTTAAATTTAAAAGAGAAAAGGAAATATACTGTATAAATTAATCAAATAAAATAAATGTAGATATAGGGACAGAAATACTAACATACATAAAAAAATAAAATATTAATAGAGGAGTTATTTACAGTTAGCATATAAATGGAAAAATATATTAAAAAACAAAGAGGATAGACAAACAGATTTAAACAAAAATTCTGCACAGAAACAGACACATTTTAGATGTCAAGATAAAAGAGTCAAATGATGCGTGTATGAAAATAAAAACTTTTTGTGAAGTAAATAATGGGTGAGACTGGAATAATGTTGATGATGCTATTAAACAATGAATTAACTGAATAAAAAAGAAAATCATATATACAAAATGAACTTTTTTATATTTTTATCCAGAAATAAAGGAGGTACTCAAAACTTTTCTGAATGCTGAGTAATCAAACTGAAGTCATACAATATATTAATACTTAAGAGTGAGAAAATAAAGGATACGATAAGAGTCAGAAATCTCTGAAAAATGGTATGAATTTATGCCAATAGCTCAATAATAAAATTACCTATCTTTTTATTGTAAAAAAAACTTTTCTATTATTGAAATTTTTAAAAAATGAGCAAAGATCTTATCACTTCATCTACATAAATTATATAATTTATGTAGATGAATTATATGTTATCTATGAGTTAATTTGAAGAACATTGAAGGAAAAACAAAAATAATATAGTAATTAACTTTAATATACAAATTTCTAGTTAATTATTAGAATTATATAAATATTTTTCTCATTCATCATGAAAATGTCCTTAAAATTCAACAATTTTCACAAATTCAATAATACAATAACAAAATGTTAAATAATCTTGTATTTAATGAAATGCACTTTTACTTTTACTTTTACTACAAATTAAGACTTCTTCAATTTAAAATGAAATATATTTAAAATTCTTTTTGAAAAGTTTAATTTGTTTAAAAATCAAACAAAGTAAATATATAAACATCTCAAAGCCTGATATTTTAATAATATGCCAAATTACAAGATTAAATCAGGATACTTTACTGCTATTATTTTTAATTAAATTCTAAATAATTTGGTATTAGAAGTAGGCATTAGGTGCCATCTCTTATTAAATTTAATAATTATAATTAAATTAATATTTAATAAATAATTTTGAATATTCTGGAAGAAAAGAATCAGTCTGGAGTAGGACTCTCCCACTTACCGTGCAAATGCATTGTCAGTTATTCTACCCAGATCTCTATTCAGATTTTCCCTTCCAGACATATTTCATTTTGATATAACCATACTCAATTACTTACAGTTTAGAATTTAATTAAAAATAATAGCAGTAAAATAGACAGATTTAATCCAGTAGTCTTTTGACATACAAATTAAAGTAAAATATCTTATTACTAATATTTTTAAAAAATATGATAATACTAATAAACTAATACTAAACCTGACCCACAGAAGATATCTTCATTCAGATATAAGTTAAAAAATCTCCTTAAAAATTGCCTCATATTATGTATATTTGCTTTTGTTTTAATATATTTTGTGAACTCTGAGATATAGTTTTGTTCCCCAATGTGTTTTCTAGAAATGTAATAAGTGTTGGATGGGTACTGCACATAGGGCCCACCCAACAACTTCTACATTTCTACAAAAAGAGAAATGGTTAAAACTATCATAGATAACACAGTGAAAAATTTGTCCAATGATTCCCATTAGTACTACTAAAGTTTTTTAAATTTTTTCTGAAGTCTTTCAGTGCATTGTGGTGACTGTCAAAAATTGAATCCAGCATCCAGAAAGCATTTGCTGTTTATCAGATTATGTTAACTGTTGCATTAACATACAAAAATTATTAACCTAAAGTAATTTGCTTGGTAAGTAAATAAATGTTAAGTAATATAGTGATTTACTAAAATGTAGCTCACAGTATAATGCATTTAATATTTATCCTGTAACATGAAAGAGTAAATATTTTTATTATTAATGTCAACAATTTTCTAAGAGTTTTAAAAATAAAACTAAAGAAAAAAAATTATTTTTTATATGTAAATTATAATTGCAATATCTTATCACATAATATGATTTATATGATATAATTGTAATTGACATTGTAAAAAATTTATTATTTTACAAAGAATATAGTTACAGTGGATGATCAGTTAACAAACATAATCCGTTCCAAGACTTTGTTCATTATCCGAATTGTTCGTTAACAGATTATCGATTTACCATAGGTTTCTATGGAAATTTGATTAATTCATTCTGGAGACCCCAAAATAATAAAAAATATATACTTTCTTACTACATTTATTCATATGTAATAATAAAAATACATATATATATACAGTCTTGCATTTTTATTAGTCATGTTTTTTCTCGTTTGTAGGGGTTAAAGAATCTGTCCAATATCAATTGCTTTTCTGTCTTCTTCATAATTTTTCAGCAGTAATTAATAGCATTGTAATTGTAGAGATCCCTACGCCTATTAACTTCAACCTGGTTTGGATGCCATTTTAAGACCAGTGTTCTGACATCCCCCTTCTTCAAAAGATCTTTAATAGCAGATATCAGCATAAATCCGCATTTTCAGAAGAAAATGTAAAATAATTGTTTCAGTCAGAAATATAAAAGGCTGGAATTATGAGGGAGAGTTTCAAAATTCGGAGGAATACTATCTGATCAGTATATACTGGGTAGAATGTCGATGTCTCCCGTGCTCTGAAAAGTTTTGAATTGTTGTCTGAAGACAAAAGAAGACCAATCGGTATTCTTTATTTTATGTTGCTTCTTGTGTTTGTTCAGTGAAGTGTTCATTATCTGAACATGTGTTCATTGTCCGATCATAAAAATCTTTCAAGAAAGTGTTCGTTAACCGATCACCTGCTGTATTTATATGGGAATGAATATGTAAGCAGAAACTCACATGTGAAACTAATTCAGTAATCAAATGTAGAGAATGAATATTTTCAAAACTCTAACTAATCTGTCTACCATTAAATTCAAAATACAGTCAGACCAGTTTAAAAGCACAACTTTGGTATTAAGTATTATTTTAATTACAGTATTTTCTTGAGTAATCCAAGCACTTTTTGCCAAAAAATTGTGACAAAGTCAAAGTGCACAATTTATTCATGACAAATTTGGTAATGCAAACCTGTGTAGGGTGCTTTTGTCACTAAGAATTTTGCTTACTTTGCTAATGATAAATTTCATTTATTAACTAAACGACTTTGCTTAATATAATGACTATATATAGTCAATAGTTATGAGCAATACTATTAAATGGATTTGTGCAACTAATTTTGTGAAAATGAAGATAAATAAAGTTAAATATATAATGGAGACTGATAGTAAATAGCCTTTATACCTACTATATATTACTTCTTATTTTAAGTTATTGGTCTATTAGTAGTTTTTCATTTTCAATTCAAATTAAACAACATAGAGAAGTCTTATTTTCATTTAATTAATAAGTTAATTCATTATAAAATACATGATTACAAATTTCAGACAGTTTATCAGATATATAACTAATTTATTTTTCCCCCTCAGTATTTTATCTCTTAATATCACATCAACTTGTAAACTAAGTGTTATTATAGTAGAATCTTGTTTTAATGAATTGCTTGGAGTGCCAAAAATAATTTATTGTTCTGAAAATCTGTTGT